TTTGAGGTCCTTCCACCACAAACCAGTCTGGGATTCTATGACATGGTTGAGGGATGCTCAGCCAGGTCCTTCTCTGGAGCAGCACTTTCTTAATGGGTTTTGGGGCAATCTGGGAGCAATGCAGCTCTAGAGATGGGACTGCTGTCCAGCTGCCCCACTGCTTGCCTTGCTTCTGGCCAGGGAATGGGTGTTTCTTGGGGTAGGGGAGCCCAGCTTCACCCCCAGCACCCAAACCCCATCCCTTGCACCCCATACACCCTCCACTGGGGCAGGTAGCCCCCAGCCTGCATTCTGCTGACCACCAGGACCACCTCCCCACCTCCCAGTTCTCACCTCCATGCCACCCGGGGTGCTCATGGAGCTCACTCACCCACCTACCCTATGGGACACACACACCTGTGGGTGCTGGAGCAGTCTCATCCGTGGGTGTCCGTTGTTCAGGCTGGGAAGAGCAGCCACATGTCTCTGGGGCGAGGATGCTCAGTGCAGAGGGGACCAGGACGTGCTCTGCCGCGCACTGCTGCTGCTTCCAGCTTTCCATCCCAGCCCTGAGCGCTCTCTGGGCCGGTGGGTGCTCAGCCCATGGGGTAAACACTGGGTGGCAGCACCTCCTCGTTCTCCGGAGCAGGAGCCACCATGGGGATGGCTGTCTCTGCCTCCGTGTAGCTCTGCCCTGTGCGCCTGTAGAGGGGGGAGAGGAGCATCACTGGTACCTCAAGGCCTTTCTCTGCCTTTCAGAAGCTGAGGGTAACACATCATTGGGGTGGAAAGACCTCATGGGGCTCAGACACTTACATTTTCGCCCTCCAGCAGCAGCAGGCCATGATGCCAGCGACTACCAGCACTGAGAGTCCTGTGGGAGAGACACAGTGGCTGATGAGCATCTTCCAACTCAGGCAAAACAGCTCCTCTGAGAGCCAAAACCACTTTGTGCACATTCACAATGTGCCCTCCCCACCCCAGGAAGGAATATGGGTGCTGCATCCTTGCCCCCATCAAAGGCATTGCCCTTGTCCATGGCATAAACCACCCACAGCTCCAGGAAGGGCTTTTAAGCTAAGCAATAAAGGAAATAAGTCCCTGCTTGCCAAAATAAGCTTTTTATCCAGCTTACCAATGGAAGAGGCCAGAGTCTGGATGGAAACTGAAACAGAAGAGAGAAATGGAGATTTTTAGTTGTGGAGCTGGGGAAGATGGGGATGCTGGAGGGATTCTTACTAAAAAGGGGTTTGGTACCCCCCTTTGGTGGGTGATCTTCCCCAGGGAGGTGGCCCAACCTGCAGCATGCTCCGTGGGGGTGGCAGGCAGTGTGGTTGTCCCCAGAGGTGACCCTGGAGCTGTTTCCTCTGCCAGTGTGGATGTCTGCAGGGGTGGGAGCATCTCTGGTGGCCTGGATGTCTCTGCCAGTGTGGATGTCTGCAGGGGTGGGACTGTCTCCGGTGATGTCCCATCAGGTGCTGGGGGCATGGGTGTTGCTGCTGGAGAGGGGCTGGAGGTCAGGCTGGTGTTGGTGGTTCCTGTTGGGAAAATAGTGTAAAACCTTTTAATTTCAAGAATTAAAAGGCACCCCCCAAACAGCACCATTATTGCAGTGCTGAGCCTTATGCCTGCTTTGGGCAGGTTGTGGTGAGGGAACAGTCCATCCAGCCCTGCACTGGTGAGGCTGCACCTCAAACCCTGTGTTCAGTTCTGGGCCCCTCACTGCAAGAGAGACATTGAGGTGCTGGAGCGGGGCCAGAGAAGGGCACC